TGAAGGTAATGCCATATTGTATTATCTTTGTATTATCTTTAAGATCCCTATAACAATACTGGTTTAATGTAAATTGTAGATGTTGCCTTATATAATAATAATTCCTTTTATTATAATTTTTAGAATATTACGAGAAACATGTACTTGTACCGGATGTCGCACAATGTTCCGATGGTCATTTCTGACAAGTCATCTAACTTGCATCACGTAGGGTGATAATTTAGCTTTTATTAGTTACTGTTGTATTTGGTGAATTTTCACGCGGCGTGATGTTGTTTAAATGGAAATGACCATTGGGAAATTGATATCGATATATAATCATAACGATAATAAAAATAAATAAATAAATTTAGTTTATATGAAAACAGCCTGGACCAGTCTCAAGATTGAAGATCAAATAACTGCGGGACTAATGATTCTAAATTTAGATATATCAATTTTACCTTAGTTTCACAATAAGTAAGTCATTTTACAATATGTAAAATGATATAACAAAAAAAGGTGCTTAATTTCGGAAGTATATAGTAATTATATTTTGATAAGAAATTAATTATCTCTTATTATTTTAAGAAGATTATTTGCCAATTCTTTCAAATCATCATCCTCTTTTAATATTGCATTATTCGATTTTTGACAAACGAACATTTGTTTTGATCGTAGCAATAGCCTTTTGCTAACGATGTGGTATAATATATGCAAGTTCCTTATCAATTGATCAAACTATTCGAATACTTTGATTATAATCTGTAATCTTAAATTGGCAGTTCGTCCAATCTGTTGAATCTGTTTAATCTCTTCAAACTGTTCAAATTGGTGAGTTGATTAGCAATCCATATTATCTGAATTTGAATAAGTCACACCATTAGATACTGATGAGATAGTAAGCTTTTATTCAAATCAACCAGTATGCTGTATTTGTTACACATGGTTTTACGCCGATTTTAAACATTATCAATTTTGATTTTATCAATATTATTTTTATTTTTTATTTTATTTTATTTTGTTTTGTTTTGTT